TCAGTAGTTATATTTTCAAGAACTGTATAAATCATATTTATAAGAGAATGTTTTCTTCTAAATTTTCCATTTGAAAAATGGACACTTAAGAAAGCTTGGAAGGAAACAAATGGGCAAAGAAAATATTGCAAATTCGGGGACATAGAATCCTATCGACCAACACCCGGGGCGACAAAATTTGTCTGAGGGACAAATTTTATCTATATATTTTTTAGTTATTGCTTTTTTTTACTTCATTTTTTATTGCCAAAAAAAACACTCTCGATAGATTTCTCGGGAGCCACACAAGTTCATGTAAATTATGTACTTTGGGAGTTATGCACATACACACGAACATTTAAAAATATGTAGCTCTTAGGCATTCAAACCAAACTATAGACACACACACATATATAGATGCATACATATAAATTCTATTTAGAGAGAGAGAATAATAAAGGTATTTAAATTATTGCAACGATATTATTTTATTTTTTGTCTCTATTAAGAGCTCCGTAAAGTTTGACTGCCAGCACTAGGAAGAATACATAACATTATAAAAATTATAAAAGCTTTAAACTGTCTATATATATGTAAATATATATATATTTTTTTATCCAATGCCTTTTTTGTTTGTAGCAACATTAATATAAACAATGATTTCTTTATCAGTTCGTGCCTCGGATATTCTACATGTTGTGTTTAAAAATCCTAATGACTAAATGTTAAAAACCATAAAATATACGAACAAATACATATGAGTGTGTGTTTGTTTATAAAAAAGTCACATCGAGCTATCTGCTATGTCCACTGAGTGGATTCGAACCCCTGATATTAGCGTTGTAAATCCGTAGCCTTACCAATCTCCCACAGGGGGAACAAATACAGCTGCAGAACTTAAAGGTAAAATAGAGTATACACCATTCCCGACATGCCTAAGCTGCCAAAATGGCGTTGTTTTGATAGATAGCATAACATCTTGGTTAAAAATGTCCTATAGATCTAAAACATTTAGTAAGATTTATAATAAGCAATAAGATTACTTTTGTTAGGTTTTCATATGTTGATAGGTAATCGTTTTATCTAATAAGTACAGCGAGCCCACTTTTGATTTCTTAGCGTTTTTGTGAAAACTCCAAAAAAGCTTATTTTCACAAAATGACAAAGTTAGATATATATAGTATTTTGCATCTAATCTCTTCATATATAATTTAAGTAAAAGCGAAAACCTAAACTATATATTCTACTTTGTTGTGCATCTGATTGAACGGTGAAGTGCCAAGTACATTTTTGTAGAGTTTCGTCCTTTGGGCAAATAGTTTGTCTTTTAATATCATACTTTTTTGAATAAGTTTTGATGGAAGCTAAATATTAGATAACTATTGTAGTCTTGTATTTTATTCTATTTATTTTTATTTCCAGGCAAAGCTGTTCCATTTGTGGAGCTGATAGTGGCTCACGGGTCCATCCTCACCATCTTGGCCATTAGCTTTGAACGCTACTACGCTATCTGTAAACCACTAAAGGCCGGCTACAAGTGTACCAAGAAGAGGGCCCTCATCATCATCTTTCTTGTGTGGGTGGTATCTATCCTCGTCACCAGCCCTATTCTAGCCATTGCCGAGTACGCGTACGTTGAATACGTTGACGGTTCACTGGTTCCCGTGTGTCTCACCCAAGCAAACTCCCTCTGGAAAAAAATATATTTTATTTTCATATCTAGTGTCTTTTTCTGGGTGCCCCTGGTTGTACTTCTTATCATTTATGGGATGATTACAAACCAGTTAGTTGTGGATCGCAATCTTTTCACATCTGTTGCTGGAAACAATCAGATTCTTGCTCGAAAACAGGTGGTCGTGATGTTAGTGGCAGTAATAGCCTGTTTCTTTGTTTGTCTTCTGCCCTTCCGTACCTTCACAATTTGGTCCATCGTGGCATCTCCAGAGCAGGTGCAGTCCCTTGGGATGGAGGGTTACTACGTGCTCCTTTACTTTTGTCGTATAATGTTTTATATAAACTCTGCTATAAACCCCATCCTCTATAATGTCATATCTTCCAACTTCAGAGAAGGCTTCATGAGGTTATTTGATTTCACACACACTCGCCGCCTCTTACGTCAAGGCACGTTAACAACAACCAGCTCTTTAAATCATTACATCAAACATACTTCCCTGAATGGTAAACCATGTTACCATACATACACGGAAACACATGTCTAACGTTTGCCATAAAATAATATGTGTTGATTGAGGAAATCTGTAACATGATCTGCCTAAATTAAGTTCTAGCTGAGCTGACAAATTATCCTTTGTACTCAGTCATCTTCAACAACATCTTCATAATGAAACCATTTTACCCGACATTCAAACATCATCAGTTTCATCATCATATTTCACGTAACATTTCATACTTTATAAATCCTGTAGTCCACACGTCTTACTTTAAAGCTGATTTCAACACCTCGACATTCATATTTTGGAATGCAAATATTCTGTGAAATGCTACATACCAAAAAGTTTACATCCAACATAACTTCGATTCATAGATATTCAAACGGGAACATTTGAACTTCAGTTGGAATTGTTTGTTTGTGAGAATTAAATTATTGTTCATTTCCATATACCCATAAAGGAGAATTTAACATCACTAGAATATCTCTGGATATCCTCACGTGAAATTTTCTCCTTACTTTAGGAGCAATATTGTGAGTAAATGTAAATTTTACCTCACCTTTGTGTATTATTTGTATTCACGTGTCTTGGTTTTCCACATACTTTAACTCGTTATAGAATTTCTAAATATATATATTATTTAAAACTTAAATTGCTACGGAATTGTAACATAATCATATGTGTACATTTAAATTAATTGTGTGATTCTGTTACCTCTCTACAAAAGAATGTTATTATTATTTCTTAGTGCAAAGCTACACAAAGCTATCTATACCCTGTACACTGGAAGAAATCTAACCCCGAATTTATGCGTTCTAAGTCTGTAAACCTACCGCAGACTCGCCGAGGGACTTATAAAAAGCAATGACTATACGCGGAAAGTTAATGCATATTGCACCTTAGATACTGTAAAGATTTGATACATTATACTTTCAAAATCCTTGGATATTAAGACGTGTGGAATCCCTGCATACGATATGTCTATTTGTGAGCTTTAATACTAAGATATTCAGACGTGTATGCTTGTAGACTTTAATCATAGGATAATGACACGTGTGGAATCCCTGCGTATAGTCCGTCTATTTGTGAGCTTTAATACTAGAATATTCAGACGTGTGGTCAACCCACAGTATATTTGTGAACTTTAATACTAGAATATTCAGACGTGTGATATCACCTCCACAGTATACTCATGAGTTTAATACTAGAATATTCAGACGTGTGGTCAACCCCACAGTATACTTGTGAACTTTAGTGCTAGAATATTCAGACGTGTGATATCACCTCCACACTATACTCATGAGCTTTAATCCTAAGATATTCAGACGTGTAATATCACCTCCACAGTATACTCATGAGCTTTAATCCTAAGATATTCAGACGTGTGATATCACCTCCACACTATACTCATGAGCTTTAATCCTAAGATATTCAGACGTGTGATATCACCTCCACAGTATACTCGTGAGCTTTAATCCTAAGATATTCAGACGTGTGGAATGTCTGCATCAGCGAGATTTAAATCTTTGAATATCTGCATTTCAAGTTGCTGTGAGATTTATCGCAACCTGTAACTAAAAGTGTGGATACCTACGCATGTTAAAGCAACCTGTAACTAAAAATGTGGATACCTACGCATGTTAGAGCAACCTGTAACTAAAGGGTGGATACCTACGCATGTTAGAGCAACCTGTAACTAAAAGTGTGGATACCTACGCATGTTAGATCCCCCCACAGGTTGCTGTGTACTTCAAAAGTAATCTCTGCAATAGTTAGTTATTCGTGTGAATTCAAAGTGGTCCATCCATAGAAGTTCGTGTAATTGGTAAGTTTGGTAACCCTGGCAACGAAGAAGTTCCATAACGCCAGACATGATTATAAACTTCAACACAATTCGTTTCTCTAGAAACGGTGTGATAAACATAGCTACAGAAACGGAGTAAAGATAGATGACGAAACTTTCACTTATACGCGGAACAAATGATGAACATATTGGTGATAACTATTGGTCTGTTGCTGTGACTAATACTATGAACAGTGGTGATAACTATTGGTCTGTTGCTGTGACTAATACTATGAACAGTGGTGATAACTATTGGGTTGTTGTCGTGATTAATACTATGAACAGTGGTGATAACTATTGGTTTGTTGTCGTGACTAATGGTATGAACAGTGGTGATAACTATTGGTCTGTTGCTGTGACTAATACTATGAACAGTGGTGATAACTATTGGTCTGTTGCTGTGACTAATGGTATGA